AAAAAAATTATGGGCTGTTTTTTTGCCGACCCGATTTGCCCGGGCGGCGCCCGTGCTCAGGTGTGAACTCTAATCCGAATTTTTTTTTTTTTTTTTTTTGCAAGGATCCCATGGTTCCCAAAACCGCCATGGAGCTGGAGATTGAAAAGGAGGCGGTGGCTGCAGAAGAAAGTAGCAAGAGGATTGAGAAACTGAGGAGAGAGGAGACAGAAGACTGATAGGCGCATATTAAAGTTAGACGGGCAACGGTGACATAACATTTCCTGGCCGCTGAATCTGATGAAAGATTCAGTGACACTAACAGGAAAATGGCTGAGTGGATCCGTTTGGAGTTCACTTCAGTCAAAAACGCCCTCACTGGATGGACCGGGCTGCTGCAATAGAAGACCATTTGACTACAGTTGAAGCCAAACAATATTCTATTGTAGAATACTAGAGACTGCGGATCGAATCAAGCAACTTCTCAGTACCTCTCCCCACTCAGCTACCTCTACCTGTCATCATTCAGTCAAACCTAAACTGAAATTGGTCCCTACTCCCCCTGCAACCCCACCGTCTTCTCCCAAGGGAAAGCTTGCTTCGCGTAGCAAGGAACAAGTTGTCCCTGGGGAGTTGAGACTTGGTGCTGGCAGCTCAGGCCAATAGGAACAATGTTTCCCGAAGATGATGCAACCTACCAAATTCACTGGCGATGATGTCAAAGTGGATGTGTAAGATTGGATCGCTTCAATGAAGTCCTATCTGAGGCGATTCGTCTGCCAAGAGGATGACAAAGTGCAATCCATTGTGGCCCTGTTTGGTGGGTCAACATTGAACTGGGCAACCTCTAAGGCCACCAAGGCTCACCAACATTTATCAGATTGGGCTGTCGCAACAGGATTAGAGATCATCTTCCAGAGTCTGGAGGCGAGGTTTGCAGATAAAGAAAAGGCTTGCAAAGCTGCAAACGAGCTGGTTAGTCTTGGCCAGACAAAGTACAGGGGTTCCCTAGCCACAGTGTTGTCGTGCGGGGATCCCCGGGGCCCAAGCCGGGGTGGGGGTTTTACCCCCGGACCCCCTCGCCCTCCCCCGCCCCGTAGCCCTCCCCGGCCCTGTACCCGCGGCCCAGTCCCCACCCCCGGCCCCGCACCCCCAACCCCCCTCTCAGCCATCTTCGGCCCCACACGCCCCTCGGCCCTGGCCCTGGCCTCGCGCCCAGGGTCCCCCCTGGCTCACAAGGGGAGGGTGTAGCCCCGGGGGGGAGTTTGAGGTGGGGGCAAAACTGCATTTTCACAGTTAGGCCCGGGGGATACAGGCTTCCGTTGGGCACCCCCCAGTATTTTGTTTTTTTTTTTTGTTTTTTTTTTTTTTGATTTTTTTTTTTTTCTTGGGAGGGGGGTCCGGAGCCAGGGCCAGAGGCCCAGAGGTGACCACCCCCGGATCCCTGCAGCCCTGTCGGAGCCTCGGGGTCGGGGCTCAACAACCCTGCCTGGCCCAAGCTCTATGCAGAATTTGAGTGCCTCACCTGTACTGCCGATTTGGAGATGTCTGATAGGGACCAACTCACTTGGTTCATAAGGGCAGCTCCTGAGAAATATACACGGCCCTGTACTTTGCAGGACACAAGGATTGATGGTCTTTTGGCCGAGCAGCCTTGGACATGGAGGCAACACTCCATGTTCAGTCCACTCCTCAGAAGGTAACCCCTCTTCCCAAAGCAGGAGGAAGGAAAAGGGGAACTTGTACACCATGGAGTCTGATGATGACTCTGTAGGCACTAGCCAGGTGAGATCTACTCCTCCAACTGGCCAGGGTGCAGGGGCATCAGCAGACCAGGTTGCTCAATTGTTGGCCCAGGTACTGCTAGCCCTCACTTGAGGCAAACAGTTTCAGGGACAAAACCCCTCCTCTCCTAAGGGGCCAGGCAATAGCCCCAATAATCCCCAACAGCAGAACCTCCCAAAGTTTGCCAAGTGCCCAGCCAATCCCATTGACGCTTCCTTTTTTCCTTGGAGGGACCTGAAGATCCCAGAGGGCGAATGGCAAAAGAGGAAGGACATAGGGGTTTGTCTGAGATGTGAGGGCAATCACTATGTCAAGGATTGTCCTAGGCTGAATCACAACAATTGAAGCCACTCAAAAAACTAATTAGGCCAGCAGAGGCGGTAGCCAGCCCTGCTGAACTGCATCCATCTCCTTCAGGAGATGAATTAGTTGTTGAGCCAGATATTTTTGAGGCTGCAAAGGACTCAATACACTCTTATATTGAGCCCTATCTGGATGAACCCTCATATTAGGAGGAGCTTGATCAGTTATGTTCCCTTCATCTTCAATTAAAGGAGGAGAAGAAGAAGATATTAAAATTGATCATGCTGAAACCTCAAATTATCAGAACCAGGATCAAAACTTTGCTTGACTGTGGGGCCACAAGGAATTTAATTTCTCATAATAGAGTTCAGAGACTCCACTTGGGTCTCAGGGTTACCGACCTTGAGCACCCTTTGAAGATACAGGTGGGGAATTTCCAATCTATCCCCGTCAACTGAGTCAAGCAAGTCATGAAGGGAGTGTCAATCACCTTTGATGACAAAGGGGAAATTAGACATTCCCCAAATTTCTATGTTTTTTGTCATTTTTCTTTTGATCTGATACTGAGTCTGAAGTGGCTAAGAGCTACCAACTCTTCAATTGACAAGGCTCTGCCCAATGTTCAATTGAAGAATTATCAGGGTGAGCTAAAATAATGTGTCTTAGCTACTGACCATCATCCTAAGGCAGGTTATTACTGTCTGAAAACCAGGGAGTTTTTCAACTTGTCTAAGGAAACTTACGATGAGAATTTGTTTGTGGCTATGTATCCTATCAACGGGCAACGAGATTTTTTCAACGCTGTTGTACCCGTTGAATAGCCATCGGGGCCCCGTTAAATCCCCGTTGAATAGTACAACGGGCCCTCCCCGTTGAATAATGTTCAACGGGGAGGGCACATTGAGCCTCGTACACGTTGTTGGATGCGCGTGGAGAAATTTTTTTTTTCACCCCGTTGAATCCCCTTTGAATCCCGTTGAATCCCCGTTGAACCCCGTTGAATCCCCGTTAAATCCCAATTGCATCCCCGTTTAATCCCTGTCTCTTATACACATCTAGATGTGTATAAGAGACAGATACATGGGCCGCGGGCCTTCCCCGTTAACGCGCCGCAGTTTTCGGGGCTCGGGGAAGGCCCGACAGTGCAATGGAGGACGACGTGCGTGGACCC